ACACAGTGCTCTTATTCCACACTGGTTCTCATCTCACCATGTGACCTTTTCTGACTGAGGATTTCAGAGATTGTCCAGTGGGGTACAGTTAAACCTCCCACCACCCTCAACACCAGACCCAGAGTAGTCAACCACCATCCTACTATCACTGTCTGTAGCATCTATTCTATTAGTTATCCAAATGTCTCTAGGTTTATCAACCATCTGTCTGATTACAAACTGCAGGTCTAATTGTTGTGGCATAAGTAGTAATACAATTCTACACAATGAGTTGTGATTAACTTATTTTAATAGCAAGGTGGAAGCGAACAACATGAAATATGGACTGGAATGGCATGTCCTCCAACAAATCTATTATTATCTGTGTTAGGACACCTGAATCACTGCCCGCATCTCAGTGATTAAAATATGTCTGCTGTTGTCCCCAGTGACAAATGTTTCCCCTGCTTGGAAAAACAATTGACGAATCACAGCTTTGAACACTGAATCAGGAATGGGGATGTCATCTTAGCCAGCTAGCTAACAGCCTCCATGAAATTCAGTGAGAGAAAAGCTTGGATAAGACTGATGCAGCAGTTGTTCTTGACTTGCAGAAATAACAACTCACAAATCAGCACGTTTCTATAATCAAATGCAGAATACCAGGTTAAATGCTCCCAGCAACTGTGACTGTGGCTTTCAGGATGGATACAGTAAGTCACTCTCATACTGATAGTTTAGGGCAAAACAAAGTACCCTTGCCCCAGACAGAATGACTGAAGTGCGAGTTCAGGCAGATTTTCAGAAAATCACAAGTCAGCATTGTTGTTCTGGTTATATTCAGTTTGTTCTACTTTTTTCTCCTATTTAGAGGGATGTGTCTGAGGCATGACCCCTGCTAATTTCTCATGTGTCATATTTTGTGGGAAGCTTTGTGTAGTAATAAAAGGGACACTTCAATCAAAACACAATACAAAATGTTGGACTTAGTTTATCTTTCAGTTTGTGCTTTTATTGAGATTTGCAGAGTTGTGACATTTAGTTTTTGGTGCTCAGTGTGCAAAAACTACACAGTAACATTTCCTTCTAAATAGAGCAATATGTCGATTTGCAGTAACATCCAGACCTGCTCTTCCTTTGTCTTATAGAGACACAGTTGTTTGGCTGATGTCAGCTAAAAGTAATGTTTTTGATAATACCATTCACAACAATTTCCACATATGATCAGAAACTTTATTTTTGGAAAGACACATTTCTGTTAAATGCATTTTTATGTTGATATGAGGTGATAGGTAGCTTTAAATCTGCTTTAGCCAGCAGAAATGAGCTGCAGTGCAGTGCCAAACAAATTCTGTGTACTGGTATTTACTATACAATCAAAGTTAATGTGAAAATGTTTCATAATCAGTGATCACTTTTGAAGAAACGTGTCTTTCCACAGTATGTACTGTTCTCTGTTTGCACTTGCTCAGTGTCTTCTTTCCTTAGATGGTAAATAGCTACTGGGGACACCAGCGTACACACTTGGACAAGCTGTGAAGTCTAGCAGAGAATAGGTCAGGTTTTTCCAATGTTGCCTGTTCGTAGGCATCGTCTCAGGCATTTGTGTCAGGTCATTATCTGTGTTGTGTTAATCCTCAGCAGCAACACGTGTAGCAGGTTTTCTCTCCCACGTTATCTTCTCTTGTATCAACAGGTCTTAGGTGTCCTGGGCTTGAACCTGTAAACTTCTTGCTGTGAGGCAACAGTGCTAACCACTGTGACACCATGCCACACTGTACATTTACACTTACTTGTAATTCATATTTCTGTCTTATATAGAAAGACAGTAATATTGGTCCCAAACAGAATGATAATGTAAAAAGACTTGAATCTCAAAAGAAGAATTTTTTGTGGGAAATTTTCCTCCCTGGGAATTGGTGCCAATTTTGCAGTGTTCTGCTGAGGCTTCTGGGTCAAAACAAGTCACTTAGGAGAAGATGAGATGAGTGGCATTAGACCAGGTTCACAAATGCCTTCAGTGTCTATGTCTCTAACCGAGGGTTGCACATTATTACAGGTGCTCACACTTGGCACCACAGTTCAAATTGTGGGACAACATAAAAGCCACATATAGAATTTGAAATAAGTTCCATGTTTTGCATAATCTGAATAAACTGTATATCTTTTCTACTCCACTTGCCAAAACCTTTCATGAGCTCTCACTCATTAGATTTTTTACTGGCTGTACATTTTGTTTGTTTGTCTTACTTTCTCTGCGTCACATTTTAGTTCCAGATTCTTGGGATTTTGACACCTGGCTGAAGTGCCTTTGAGGTGTCTCAAATGTCACATTGCATGTCCCTCTAACCCTCATCAATCGCCAGCTGCACACCCGAGCCCTCAGCTCTAATCACTGGCCTCTCAGTTCCTGACGTCCACAGGGGGCTGCACTTTCATTTGGAGGACAGCCATTTGCTATTCTTAAAACTCAGAGCTCTGTTCTCCCTCCACTTCTGTTCCTCTTTTACCTGCTAGTATCTTTGTCTGGTGATGTTATTTTTGTTGTCCTTTCTATTAGGACTGCATGAACGTGAACGGACTTAATTAGTGAGGTTTCGCTGTTTGTCAGGAGGCCTGCTGTAAATCAGTCATGAGCTCCAGCCTGGTCAACTCTATAGCCAAAGTGTATGACCCCAACCCTCTTCATGGTCAGAAGCCTGGTGGAAGGAAGCTCTCGCTTAATGGATCAGAAAAATCCCAGGCTTTTTCTTCTTCATCATCATTCTCTTCCCCTCCTCATGACACCACCCTGCTCTGCGTTGAGAGCCGAATGGACTCGTTGAGCTCTCAGATGGAGCATTTGCTCAATATGCAGCAGATTGTCCTGACCCGGCTGGACGGCCTGTCCCAGGACGTCAGGGGCATGGGTCGGGATTTAGCTTCTCTGCGTAAAGAGGAGCTTCAGGGGAGACGTGGGTCAGCGGTGGAGGTGGTGTGCAGGGAGCTCCGTGGGGCAGTGGAGAGGGCCAGTGAGCGGGTGGAGAGTCAGGGACGCAGGTTGGAAGGGGTGGAGAAGCTGGTGGAGGGCACTCAGCAGGTCATCACCTTCATCGGGGAGGTGGTGAAGAGCTCCAGGCTGGTGGAGCTGCTGTTCAAACAACCTACAAACAAAGCTTACAAGAAGGTGAGAAGTTTAACAGCATCGCAGGCAACGCTCTCCTGCAAGACGCAGCCCCAGACAACCTCAGCGTCAGATGTTTTCCATCTCACAGCCTGTTTCTGTTTTCATCTCCATGATTTCAGGAAGGTGTAACACGAGTTTCCAAAACAGCTCTGCTCCAATGTGTTGTGTCATAATGGCAACATAGTGAGAATTCTAACTGCATTGCGAACATTGCATTACAGTACAAAAGGCCGCAAATGACATCCTCTTTATAGAGAACATGTTTGCAGTGACACTGTTGATAGGTGGGCAAACAGAGCAAAATACAAACAGGACATTTTTCCATGAATTGTAACAGGTTTCCTTCTTTGCATGTAAAGCTGCCATTCGTTCCTCTTAGTTTCGACTTGCCTTCTCATAAATCTATAATTACTTCAGCTGTACTTCCACATGTGGCTCTCTGTAATGTTAAGTAATTTTCCCTCCTGCAGTGACTGTCTTTTACCTGAGGTGTAAATGATTCAGTTCAGACCAGTTATCTTATCCAGACCATGTCTCTTCCAGAGCACTTGTCTGGCCTGTTCTAAATAGGCGACATTACTGCAGTGAGTGATTAGATGTGCTGGCATATGTAGATACATCTCAGTTGTTATTCTTCATACATGGAACGATATGAACATTGTACCGAGGAATGTTTCATAGGTTTTGCTGCCCCGTGTTTCTGTGTGTGTGTGCAGTTTTACATACTTGAATTCTACTGATTGTTTTTAGGAATGGCAGTGTGGTTCAGTAAAGAGATTAAAAGTATATAGACAACTTCTGTCAGAAATGACAAGGAAACCGTCATCTGATCATTTGATCTTCCATGTGTTTCCATGTGCCATTCAGTGATGTTGTTTTCATACAGTGGGATATTCTTTGATAACTGTATAGAGAAAGTGTGGAATGAAACTGTTTTCTGTGTGTGCGGCATGTTATCGGCTATAGATGATATGTGACCTTTCCTCATTTTTGTGGTGAGGACATCTGTTCTCCCAAAGCATCACACTAGAGTTTCACAGGCAACCATAGCAACACAACCCAAGCTTGCTGTTTGACTGTTGTGCAAAAAGACAGATCCAGTATATACTGTATAAATATGCCATTGCGATCAAAACTCAGACTCCTGGCTCCGTAACCAATACTGAAAATGAAGGATAATTTATATCTAGTTCATTTCTGGATCCAGAATATAAGTTATTGAACTCCCATTTTACAGTGTTTAATGCTTGATCTTTGTTTCCTGTTTCTACTACAAGACAAAAGATGACAAGGATAAAGCTAAACTGAGCCTGAAGAAGAAGAGGAAGCCCCTGGACACATCAGGTACAGCAGGCTCACACAGGAAATCACACAATACAGGCCATCACCTTACAGAGAAGCTGACACAGCATTTATTCTTTTTGATGACAGATATGAAAAACATACTGGATGGTCTTTTTTTTCTATGTCAAACTGTTTAATGAAGTAAAGGATAAATGTTTTTGCTTGTTTGTAATTGTTCATAATGTGGGAGAAAAGTGGAAAGCCAGTTCTGCAAAAATACCAAGTTTAGCTTGGGGGTGTTGTGGGGCCGCTGTGGCTTCAGAGGTGGAATGTTTGTCCCCCAACTGGAAAGTTGGTGGTTCAGTTCCCGCTCCCCCAGTCCGCATGTTGAAATCTCTTTCAACAAGGCGCTGAAGCCAAAGTTGCTACTAGTGTCTTGCAGTAAGCTCTGTCATTGGTATGTGAGTTCACAGATGCAAATGGCTGCTTTGGTTCTGTACTGAAGGCGTATTCCTTGGCCGATAAAAGTGATTATCTTGTTTATTAGCTTATTCATTATGGCTATATATTGGATGCTCATATTGTAACTTTTCATAAGAGCATGTAAACATAATTAATGTAATCTAAAACAGGTGACGGTTTTATTTTGTATGGTGCTCAAGGGGGTGAACTCCCCTTGAGCACCCCGCTAATAAACACACCAAAGCACAGTAGTTGGCCAGCATCCCCCTAACACTGTTAACTAATAGTTAAGACTAAACCTGTTCAGTTTGGTGGGGTGCAGACTGGCTTTATATTTTAGACTAAACCATTTCAGTTTGGTGGGGTGCAGACTGGCTTTATATTTTTAAAACTTTTACATAAAGGAGAAAAAAATGCAACAATAAGTGACACTATATATTCACAGTATTATGATGGAATGGTGGCATATTTGGTAGCATTCTGTTGTTACTGATTTAACAAATTGCATCACTGTACAAGATTCTCCCCCCTTGCTGTCAATTTGATTCACCCTGGGTCATCAGATTTCAAAAGACATTGATCGCTACACTCCGAAAGCTTCAATGCAACAGAAATAAACTGTCCAAAGTGTCAATATTCCTGTATAATCATCTGCTTTGTTTTCCCTCTTCAGATACATCCTCCTTGAATGAGCCAGTGCTACAGGAACAAGTGCAAAGGCTCAACAGGCAGAACACTGAGCATTCCCATGCAAATGTGGAGGCTGAAGTCCAGATGGGGGAGGACAGAGGACAGGCCAAACGGATCCTGGATGGACCACATGCCTCTGCTGCCCAGACAGAGGAGAGGAAGGACGAAAGCGAGGAGAGAGAAGAGGAAGATAAGGATGAAATCTTTGAGGACTCAGAGGAAGAGGAGGAAAGCGCAGAAGATGAGGATGTACAACTATCTAGAAAAGTGGAAGATGACAGGAATGAACAGCATAAAGAAGAGATAGAAGAGTTGTCAAAATCAGAAAGAGCCTCAAGTGTCATCATAGTCTCCAAGACCTCTCATTTACCACAGGAGAGGTACTTCTACAGAATCACTTTGCTGACACTGGAGTTGCTTTAATCTAAAATAAATTTAACAAAGTGTGGTCTTTTGCGCATGTGTGTGTAGCTCTGAGGACGTCAGTGATCTGGCCACCTGCAGTAAACATCGTGTCCACAGAGAAGACCACGTGAAGGATGACCCCCCAAAAAGCAAAGTGGAAGACAGAAAAATGAAAAATGCTGATGGACAAGCAGTGGAGGGGGGCAAACCAGAGGCCTCCAAATCTGACAAGGCAAAGACAGAAGTGGAAGAGGAAGAAAAGGAGGGAGATGCAGCAGTGAAGGAATTCATTATTGGTAAGACATTTTTGCAGTGCATGATTGTACGAGATGGCTGAATGTGCAGCAGGCTTTCTATGTAGTCTCATTTTAGTTGTTAGCTGGTGACATTTGACCTTTTGGTCCTCAGACTTAGAAGCAGATCCAGTGTCATAACAGCACGTCTGTTCTCTGCCGTGTCGGTTGGCACAGCTGGCAGAGCAGATAATGAGACACGGCATGCTACTATTTTGATCCTCTTTGTTTCTGGGTACTGACGCTTCTTGCTTGGTCTCTGCTTCACTTTATATTTACACTGCTCTTCATTTTGTCTTTTTTTAATTTACTCTGTTGTTACTTCAGACTCAAGCCCTCCACCGTTAGCACCTTTTGACCACCGCATTGTGACTCCCAAACCCCATCAGATAACCACCTATTACACTATCAAGAGAGATGAAGTCCTGGGAGGGTGAGTGCCAAAGAAACCATTGAGTATCCAGTTCTTATATCAGCTCTCAATAGTTTGTTTTCATTTTACTTACAGCCACAGACACATCCACACATCAATCTTCTCCACACCCTGGGAAGGCATGGCTAATAGTTTCTTCCAAGAACTTTTTATTGTCCCCTAAAGGGCAGATGGGTCTCAAGGGGTGTTTGCGAAACAGCAGGCCTATGTGATGTAACGGACCTGTGCTAAATCCTGCGTCAAATTGAAGATTATCCCTCAGCATGCAAGCACATTTTTAAAATGACTTATATAATCACACTGTATAGAGCCCCAATTACTGTGTGACTTAGGAAGCTTAGTATGATGACATTTGTTTAGAATGACAAGTTAAGTTAAGTTACTTCAATTATTTCTCATGACTGCTGTTGTTGTAAGTTGTATTTAATTGATTCAAAATCCAGTTTCTTCATTGACTCATGTGTGTTTCTGCTTTTTTCGTTAGGGGACGTTTTGGACAAGTGCACAAATGCATAGAGATCTCATCCGGCCTGACGCTGGCTGCCAAAATCATCAAAGCCAGGAACCAGAAAGAGAAGGTGCAGCAATGATTGGCCAGTGAATACATACAGAACACATGCAGAGCAACAAGTTACTTTCCTTGTACGGTCTAAGTAATAGTTACATTTATCGTTGCTAAGTATGATAAAGGATTACACTGTAAATTAGATACAGATCAACAGCTCAGAGGGTGCAGTCATGTGGCAACTGGCCAACCTCACCGCGTCTTTCTTCCTGTGGGTCATCCACAGTGATGTTAGGGAGGGCAGATGTCCCAGCATAGCTTTGTGGTTACACTATTATCTGAGATAAAAGTTTAGAGCTGACTAAAAGCCCAGCAAACAAGGACAAATCCTTGGTTGGCTCATATTGCTATCTCTGATTATCCGTGACAGAACTGACTATGCTGGCAATTCCTACCCGTCTGTCTCCCTTTTTTTTCAAATCTGCATTAAAGTTGACATTATAGTGTCCAAAACAAAGTGGAAATTTGACGATGCACAGCACAGATTCTACTGACTAAGTAGATAAAACAAAGATATGTAGAACATGAATTTTATTGACAAATCTTTTGTTTTCAAATTAGTTTCTCTTCAGACTTCTAACAAGCGATTGCCATCTCCTGCCATGCTTGTAATGTTTATAGCATGAATATATTATTAGAGCTGGCTCTTGAACTCAAACATGGTTTATTGACACACGTTAGACACTGCATTAAGGAGCAAATGCAAACACGTCATTACAAATACTGTATCATCAGTATCATAAAATGACAAATTCTTATCATGGGAGGATTTATGCTGGTATGTGGCACAGCTCTTCTGTACTCAACACTACTACTCTGAAAGTATTAGAAACCATCAGCTCACTCTTGACAAAACTCCGTGCAGTAGCCAGCTTCTGTGGTTTGCTAGGAGTTTACCTGTTTATGTTGTCTGTCCGTTTCTCAGGAGGTGGTGAGGAATGAGATTCATGTAATGAACCAGCTGAACCACGTCAACCTCATCCAGCTGTATGCCGCCTTCGAGTCACGCTATGACATCATCCTAGTCATGGAATAGTAAGTCTACTGCACCTGTGTAGAGTTTGGATTCTCGTTTGTTAATGCAGCATGATACAATGACTTGTCTGGGTGTAACTGTGTGTGTACTCCTCTTTGTGCCACAGTGTGGAGGGAGGGGAGCTGTTTGACCGCATCATTGATGAAAGCTGCAACCTGACTGAACTTGACACGGTGCTGTTTATACATCAGATCTGTGAAGGACTGCAGTACATGCACAAAATGTACATTCTACACCTTGACCTTAAGGTAAACCTGCTTCATCTCAGGGTCTTCACTGTCATAGAGTTATATACCACTTTTCTCACTGCTGTGTGCTCCATCCCCCAACTTTAAATGTATTGTTTTTAACCTTCACTTGATGAAATTGTTCTTCATAATTAATTTAACTGAATTTTATTTGCTTCTTTATCTTCCATTCTTCTTCAGCCAGAGAACATTCTTTGTGTCAACAGAGCTACTAATAAGATCAAAATCATCGACTTTGGCCTAGCCAGGAGGTAAACCAGATCATCTGTTTACAGTTAACAGCTTTGTCACCTCATCTTTACCATCTTTACTCTCTGGATGTATCTCTTATGGCTCTGGTGCTGTGTTCCCGACAGGTATAAACCAAGGGAGAAGCTGAAGGTCAACTTTGGAACACCTGAATTTCTAGCTCCTGAAGTCATAAACTATGAGTTTGTTTCATTCCCCACAGACATGTGGAGTCTTGGCGTCATCACATACATGCTGTAAGTATTAGATGCTGATTCACATAATAATACAAAAAGACACACAGTAGCGTCTGTGACCTCTGCCTCCTTTCTGTCTAGGCTTAGTGGTTTGTCTCCATTTCTGGGGGATGATGACAACGAGACACTGAACAACATCCTGGCCTGTCAGTGGAACTTTGACGGGGAGGAGTTCACGGACATCTCTGAGGAGGCCAAAGACTTCATCACCCGCCTGCTGGTGAAGAGCAAGAGCTGGAGGATGAGCGCTGCAGAGGCCCTCAGACACCCCTGGCTGTCCGACCGGAGTTTACACTATCAATTAAATCAGAAGGTAAACTGGAGCTCCGTTAAGTCTGTTAAAGGCCATGTGCATGTCTGAAGATGAATGCATTTGAATGCTATTAAACAGTGTTGCAGTGGTCTGAACTGTTGAGCAGTCACACGGCTCCCCTTAACTGTCCCTGTGCACGGCGGAAGGTCGGAACAACTGGCCAGTCTGAGCCCTCACTGCTGTTGTGTGGGTTGGAACTCAATGAGGTTTTAAATTCTTACTTGTATATAAATTGGAGACAGACATTTTTTAATTAAATAAATCCCACTAAGAAAGATAAATGCCCGTGACTCCGTTTGGGACTAAGCGGTATAGAAAATGGATGGATGGATGGATGGAAAGATAATTGAGCCTTTAGATAAAATACGATATATAAACACATTAGAAAATAAATTAATATAAAATCCTTTGTTTTACTTGTGATTCAGTTTTTAAATTTAATGAATATACAAACAGAAAAGGGACAAAGGTGATTTCAAACTTTTCATGACTTACTTTCAGTTTTTATGCGCCACTTAAATATAAATGTGATTCATTTATTTTGAATTTATTCCGACAGTGAAATAGCCATTCTTGTGGCACACTTCAAGTGCAGCTTAAAACAATGATCATACAGTCATTTGCTGCAATGCGCTAATTCCTCTCATCCTCTCTCACTGCAGACAAACAAGTGCACACATGCTGCTTCTCCAGAAAGCTAGGTACCATATAACCTTAATCTTACTGGTAACAAACAAACATTTCTTTCTGACTTTAAAGCATGTATTCTAAATAATCAGCTATTCTTCTTCCTAAGCAAATTTGTTTTTATGTTTCCCCTCTAGAAACAACACCAGGCCCTCAGCATGTCTTTTGACAACGTAGGGCCCTGGAGTGCAACACTGGACCAATGCTGCCGTGTCTGTATGGCTACTGGATACCTACTGGATACCTTCTCTCTGCAATGCATCCTCATGTTAGCTCACTGTACTGTAGCTCCACAGCCAGTAGCTCAGACCTGAACAGTGTGAAGCCAGCAGGAAAAAACTGCACAAAACCTCAGACTGAACCAGTGAAGACTCTGGCTCTGTGGTGTCTAGTTATTGTAGCCGGTAAGGTAAAAAAAACAACTTGTATCACAGTGTTAAATCCAAAATACTGGAGACTAAAGGCCTGCATTACTTATCACTTCCACAACATTCTCATGTAAAGACAAACTTAAAATCTAAGGTTTAGCATCAACTAAGCATCAATGCTCCCCACTGACAGTCTTCAGTTTGTCATATTGCCCTGGTTTGTGCACTTTTTGGCCTTGTTCTTCATGATTAAGCAAACACAACATGGACTGAATACTATTATTTATAGCTCATATATTTTGTGAATAGAACCTTTTTTGTTCTTTTAATTTATAAGTCTTAGAAATATTCTGTTGTTTCATGAGCATAAGCTTGATTTCAGAGTCACACCCCATTAATTTATTATGTATAAAACACTATACTGTTTCATACGCCCATTTCCCCTGAAGAGTGAGAATAGCTCAGTGACTGAATAGTGTAGACTGGCGCGCTCTCTGTGTGTGTTCATGCTCGCCTTTGCTTTGGCAGTTTGGAGAAACCTTCTCACCTTCCATGAAGGCATAACGAACCACAAAACACTACCTATGAGTGATTTATGTATATGACTGAATTGGATTCTTATTTACTGGTTCAACACCAGACTGTACTTGAAGTGCAAAGCTTTTATTAAAGATGGGACATTCTGCAGATTTCACTTATGTACAGGTGAAAATGTACCATTCTGCTTGATAGAGAGCTGACAACAGATTGCAGAAAGTATCACTTAGTGCCTCATCCTTTTAAAGTGATGGGAAGTTTAGGAATTTTGTCACTCAGTTGTTGTCTGCTCCATTTGGAAATGGAAAAGCTTTGTGATTTTAAATACTCATTTAATGAGTTTATGGTACTTTTTCAAAATTTCTTGTGTCATAATGAGACATTAGTAAATGTAGAATAAATAAGAAAAATAAATAATGCACCCTAATGAATGATTTTGAGAGTTTGTTGCAGTCTATGGAAAACTATTGGAAATGAAACACTAACGAGACAGTACTCAGTGTCATAATGCCATTTCACCTAAAAGCAATGTTCCCGTGATAGTTTAATATGATTCCTTGTCCATGAAAACCTACCTCTAGCATTAGCAGTTTAAAAGTTATTTTCAAAAAAAAAATCATACAATTTCATCTAGCATTTAGTCTCAAATAATTAAATTATGACCTGATATGTTCTGTTTAACTATCTGAACGAATAATCTGATGTCCAGAGTTTAATGCAACATTACTGGAAAGAGATCAGCTGGAGACATTAACATCACTTGCTGCTGTGAATCCAGACCTCATTTAACAACTGAGATTCAAGTATATTTCCATCAGTAACGTTCACCTTGAAAAACAGACAGCTCTCTGTTCACAGTAAGGCTAATGAGAGAGCGGGAATGAGTAGATAACTGATCTTGTGGTTCAAAGCAGAAATTCTTGGAGAGAAAAATACCATTTCTTTCATCGCCTGATGTGGTGAGTCAGCAGAAAGTTCCACTGAAAAGAAAGAGCTTTTCCACATAAACATACCAGATAACCATCTCTATTGGCAAGACCAAAATGAACTTCATTTCGGTCTTGCTCTTGGACACTTCAGCATAGGCAGGCTGAATGCCCTGGATCCTCCTGCAGGACAAAAGTGTAACATCTGGGTGAACTGTAAGCTCAGTGAGATTGACCATCTGTCTCCTTGTCTCTCAACTGGACTTTGTTGTTCCCACACACACCACATGTGTGAAGAATGAAGCTTTTTGCACAGCAGTGGACACACAGCCAAAGTCAAATACCTTGAAACACAGTGAGACACCTGCCACCCAAGCAGGACAAGAGAAGAAGAAGAGCCCCGAGGTGTAACAGAGCTGTGTGCTGTTCTCTTTTGATCAAGCAGGAAGGACAAGCAGACCGCTGTGCTTCTCAGGTCCCCAGGCACTTGCTTTTTTCTTCTTGTATGATGTTTATTTTAGACTGTAATGAAATCACAGCTCTCATCATGCTGTGCTCTCTGTGAAGTTGAGCTATGTGAAATAGCTTTCACAAAGCTACTGACACTCTCAGCTGCAGCAGATGTTGTCATACACAGTCAAATGTGCAAAAATAATAAGAGATTAAAAGCTGCTCTGAGTGTTTGACTGCTCCTGTTGAGACAGTGCCTCGAGTAATGTGGATCTTCTTCTGAAACTGAGTCTTCTGTTGCAGCCAGTATATCAAATTATGGCCTTGAAATGTATTTTTTTTGGCCTACAAACAGGCCACTTCTACAGTGAAACCACTCAAGCCTAAATTTTCCTCTTAAACGTTACTCAAAATATGTTTAGTTAGAAAAAACTAAATAAGTTTCTGCGGGTTTGAACAGTGATCCCACATGCATCTGTGAGACAGGATGCAGAGTTTTCTTGTGAGTGAAGCACTGCAGTGAGTTTCTGCTTTTCTTGCAGTGACACAAAATAAGAACAATGTTCTATCGTCTGTGTCAGTGACACCTCCTCCTCTGTGTTGTTTGATCGGGGTGTTTAATGAACCACATTTACACAGAAAGTTGGCATATTTCATAGTTTATGGAGCCATTTTATATTCAGGTTTATAATGCTTTAAAAACTGCCACAAGTGTAGATGTTGAGGCACACACACCAGAATTTAAACACACAGTTACAGGAATACATCTTGCTTGTGGCAGCACTGGTAATTATAAAAAACATTCTGCCTTAAAATTAATTCAGAAATGTTTTAAATGCCTATTTAACCCTCTGTGTCAAAGCTAAGAATATGTAAATACACAATTATATGTAAATAAATTAATACAAGAATATACAGCATAATATTAAGACTTCACTGATCCCCAGTGATTCACAAGCTACCCAACACTATGTAAAGTGCTTCAATTTATAGGGACAGAAGGTAGGTAAGATTAGCTGCAACAATTATATAAACCACATTAATGTGAAATGTGTCATTGTGTATAATGGACAATTATGTTTTGTGCTTCAAATATATTTTCAAATATATACTAATTTGTACTTTTACCTAAATAACACAACAGCTTTCATAGGTCATTGCTAGAAATTGACTAAAAGAAATGTTCTGGAAGTTGTTACAAGAAAGGAGAGAGGTCAGGTTTTCATTTTTCATTTAAAGCTCGTTAAATAATTATATATTTCTCATTTCTTTGTATTTGTGTTTCTAATTATTTTCCGTTGTTGTTCTTCTTTAAGTATGCTCGCACTTGTGTCCTGTTTATATTTTTAAATTGTTAAAATAAGAGAGAAAGAATGGACAAAAACGTACAGCTGCATTTTTCCCTCCAGCCTGCTGGTGTCACTGTGGCAAAAGGGGCATCCCGACTTCTCAGACACTTTGCCCTCTTCAATTAAATCTCCTCCGCTGCTCCTCCTTGCTCCTTTCCCATTGGCTGATCAGTTGCCTACGCTCTGTTTTTCCATTGGTTGATTTGACCGCTGCTTCCTGCTATGTCTTCCACCTGCAGCGGTGTCTTGTTTGGATGCTGAGGAGGCTGGTCAGTGCTTGCGTTGTAAACATACAGACAATTTTTTGTCGGTTCTGTTGATCGGTGTGTCTGTGACTGTAACATCCAGGCGGTCGGAGATGGCCCAGGGGTCTGAGTCCGCTAACGTTCATTCCGAATTGAACGCAAAGCTGAAGAAGAAGAGGAAGGTAGCTGTTGTCACCGGCATCACCGGACAGGTAAAGTCAGTTGCTCACTCAGACCACCATCTGTTCACCACCGCTATAAGAGCAACTTCCTCAAAGGCTTAGTTACGGATATCTACTTTTCATTTTCATTTTTTTAAAACGCTGCCGCTTTTAGAAACATCTTAAGGGAGAATGTTAGTTTACAATCAGAGTGTCAGGTGTTGAAGCCTGTTCTGTTACTGTTAAATCTACGACGCGGAAGCTGGCCTCAGTTATGTGGGAATTTAAGTTTTCCTAACCAGACGAGTTCTGATCAGATCTAAATCAAAACCCACATTTAGACATGTCGAATTTGGTCTGGATTAACCTGGAGAAGGTAAACTCCCTTTAAAACACAGTATTGGATCTGTGAAACAAAAAGGTGATTTCCCTGCTTTCCTCCCACCATATCCAGACTTGTGAAAACTGTACTAGATTAACAGGGAGAGTGTAAAGACAGATGAAAACAGTTTTAGATTTGTGTAACCTTTATTTTGAAATCACTCAAAAGTATGATTTCACTGCTTTTCCGCATCTAGTCAAAATATACCTATTAGCAGTTAAAGAAATAAACTGGGCTTAAATATAAGGTTTCACAAATATAAAACTGTTTTAAACAGTCATTAGCTCCCCAGGGTTAATCTAGTCTAGATTTTATGAATTCAGCAGTTAAATCGCCCATTTTGTGTGAAATCTGATACTGAGACAAGAAGACATGTAGCATCCGGGTATAAAGTAAACAAGATTATCCCATTTGAGGTAGCAGGTAGCAGACTGGCCTCACTGCAACATTTATAGCTTTTGTTTGATGACATGCATGTGTGACATATGAAGCTGTGTGAAACATTTGCCCTTGTCCTGACTGAGGCAAAGCAGACAATGTGGAATCCAGCTAATTGATCCTAACCTGAGCAAAGGAGTGTTCAGGAGAAGAGCGTAGAGGAGTGTCGGCTCAGCAGAACTGGCTTTACTGGTATCTGTTTACAGAATGAATGCCAACAATGTGTGTCAGCGGTTAGGTGACTAAAGGTGGATTTGTTGGGTGTTCCTCTTTAATAATAATAATAGTAAGGTCTAGACCTTGCGAGCCCCACCCGGGACCTTTCTGTGTGGAGT